AACTACCCCAAGAGCACCACCAAAAATTTTCGGTTACACAACATTTGTACTACATTCCAGCCAATAGTATTTTACGTATTTAATCACGATATTCTATCCAATAGCTCATCACATTTAGATCACTTTACTTATCACTGATATTTATAATAAAGTATCGTTAAAACAAAAAAAAAAATTTTTAAATAACAATGACCTCTAATAGCTTGTATAAGTGTGATCGATGTAGTAAATATTTAGAAAAAACTGCTTTCGTTAGTAAAACTGGAAAACCTACAAAAGTATGTAATCAATGCCGAAATAACAATTTAAAAAATTACTACGCCACCAAGTTTAACGAAAATCTGCCTTGTGATCAAAATCCTATCGAACCTAAGGAAATGAAAAAAAAATTATTTGAATGTGTTCTTCAAGTTGGAGATGATGAATATGTAGAAAATGATAATTCCGGAATAGAGTTTTTGTGTGAAATATCAACTATTTCTTTAAAAAGTGAACCTCATGAACTTGCAAAAGAAATCGCTACAATCGTAGGATCTGCTGACGGATACTATTACATGTAACTCTAATTTGCTATAATAATATATGTGATATACGTATTTGGGTATCGCCAAAAAAACCTGTAACAGATTTATAAATTTATATATTCAATTATAGTTTTTTTGGCAATACGTATATATTTAATGTTTAATATTATTTAATGTTTAATATTATTTACTCATAATGTTACTTAACCTTTTAGCTATCACAAAGTTTATAGATCTGAAAAAGATCATCACAAATATGCATTTGTATACAATTGCTCACAAAGTTGTTCTTTAGCTAAGCGTCCACGAAAACATGAAGATCTTAACAAACAGCGTGATAGAGGATATATTGAACGGTTTTCCTGTAATGGTGTTTTAAAAATATTACTTAACATGGAAATGAACACAGCAGCAGTTGATCTTCAGCATAATTTACTTCATAAACGTCCAGATCGATTTAATGTGTCCGATATTATTAAAGCTGAAATCAAAAAAAATCTTCATCTTATGCCTGCGGACATTTTTAGACAGTTGGAACATCAAAATCAAGATCTAACCCAAAAACAAGTTCATGCATGGTGGTCCTACTTTTTAAAACAAGAATATATTCGTGATTATAACAATCAGTTAAATTCTACGAAGATTCTTATAGAACAAAATCAATTCAAGATAGTTTTAATTAATAATCAGGACATTCGATACTTGGGCTTTATAACACCATTATTCGAATTATTAAAAAATAATCGTGAAATTGCTGTAGATGCTACATATAAAACGAACATCTTAGGATATGAGCTATATGCAATCATTGGTCAATATGATGGGGCTGGCTTTGCACTTGCTTATTTGTTTATCGAGGGTGCTAAAAAAATTGATGGTGCACGAACAAGTATTTTAACTTTATTTTTCGAATCTTTATTTAAGTTGGGATTAAATAATGTTTATTTTTTTTTGACTGATAAAGACTTCGCACAAGTTTCGGCTGCTCAGAAAGTTTGGCCAAATGCCAAAATTCAAATTTGTTTTTGGCATCTTAAGAAAGCAATTAAAAAACGTCTTACTGATAATACATATCCAAAAGTTATTAATTATAGTTCATATTCAGCACACCAGGTATTTGAGTTTATTGATATCGAATTTTATCCAACACCACCATCTCAAATGACCCCAGTGCAAAAAAAAAGCTTTTGCTTTTGCCCAAAAGAACTACGACCTAAAATTCTAGACATGATAGTACAACATATGCATTTTCACTCTTTAATTCCAAATACAAGTGGAGTTTATTTAACGGCATATGAAATTTGGAAACAGTCAACGAAACAAGTTTATGAATTTTGCACATATCATGATTTAAAACTTTTGTGGATTTATTTATGGGAACATTGGTATCGTGAAGAACTTTGGGTTCTATGGTCACGCTCTGCATATGATAAGATTTGTTTATTCCGTACCACAATGCTGTGTGAATCGCACTGGAAGGTCATTAAACGGGATTTTTTGCCTAAATTTTTTAGGCCACGCCTTGATTTATTAACTTATATTATAATTACCCGTTTGATTCCACATCAAAACCAGCAATATAATAAATACTATCATAAGCGTGAACTACCATCCTGGAGAAAGGATTTTAAAAAAGAATGGATGCTGCTAAAAGACAAAAAAATCAATAATCATTATACTGTTGACATTGAAAAGTGGATCTGTGGATGTTTGGGATTTTTAACTCACCGGTTTTTTCTCTGCAAACATCTCATTCAAGCATCTCAGTTTATAATTAACAAGTTCTTTTTTGAACATATTCAACGGCAAGAAATTTATCCTTTTATATTCTTACCGTTACAATCTGCATCTGTACAACAAGCTCAATCTTCAACCGAACGATCAATGCATTCAAATACAGGTATGAAACAAGTTTTATCAATTTAATATCTAAAAGTTATTTTTACAATATATTATTACATTATAACATTTTTTTATATATTAAGTTCAACAAATTTCATCAATTATGCAATTAATTCATTCAAATACTGGTAAGAAACTAGTATTACCAAGTCAATACCTGAAAATTATAGGTTTATTTTACATAAAGTTCAGAATTTATACTATTAAATACTATATTTAATATATATAGTCGATACTGTAAATGATATTATTACTTCAATTGATGATAACGACGAATCAGTACAATTATTCGAAGAATACAAATCAGTACTTCGTGATGCACTTGAACTTGTGCAAGAACAAGAAAATGCCAATAATATTCGATGGGCACAAGCCGTTCAAGGAAGTTTCAAAGGCATTCAAAAATTAGTTAAGGATGTTAAATCATATAAAAGGAGAATAACTAATCCACGTACTTGGAAGGATCACAATCAACATACGATGTTTTTAGATTTGCAAACTGCAAGTATTTAATTTTTGATTCCTATTATAAGGCTATAAGCACTCTAAATACTGATTTTTATTTTATTTTATAAACCTAAATAGGGACAAAGACAAGATAGTAATCAATCTCTTAATTCCAACTCAAAGGTTACTAATTTTTTATTTTATTTTATTTATTGTATTTTATTTTTTATTAAATTTTACTGTTACAATAAGACCAAATAGAACGAAAGCAAGATAGCAATCATCTTTTAATCCTAACTCAAATTTAAGGTAATGTATTATAAATATTTTTTGTATTTTTGGCGGGATATTTTAATTGTATAATTTAAAATAACAAATGCATTATTATTAGAAGGTGTATTTTTCTTGAATGAACTTCGGCTATAATTAAAACAACTGAACATTTTAAGAAGATATGTTAATTTTTAACACAATTTTTTAAAAAAAAAATTTTTTTTAAAAAGTATGCTGACAGAATGTAACTAGTAAAGATTCAATTAAATGCATTTAATATTTGCTAATTTGTCAAGAATTTACAATTATTATACTGCGGCAATTAAGCCTAATCTTTGCAACATTATTTGTATTTTAGTATTGGCTAAATGTGCTTATATTTAAAAATAATTAGACGTTTTAAATTTTTTGGTATTGCAAAATTTCTCGTTTCAACAATCACATTTTAATTTCGAACAACTATTTAATTTAAAAGTTATCCAACTTCCTTAATTCTTCTATCATTATCCCCAGAGATTCAACAAATAATGAAAAAATTTGATAGACTAACGACTTTTTTTTATATTTCACCAAGTACTCTAGCAAAAAAAAATTCTCAATGCTTGTTCAAAGTACTCAAGAATTATTACTAAATCTAATGCATCTTTTCTCAGGTCTTCGGGTGCATACAATAAGCGCCTTTTAATCTCACCTTTGTGAATTAAAAGTTTTGTGACTGGATTGGCTGCATATCTGCTTGGAAATTTTCATGATTTGGCGAGCCTTTGTAATTACTATATCGCTAATACTAATAAAAAAAAACAGTAATGATTTTTTTTTTAATTTTTGCGGTGTGGCCTCATAAATAAATAATTAGATATGTGTATAAATAAATAAATAAATAAACTATTTGAATATTGTGGTGTTGGAATATATATTACCATGCTTTCCACCATGAACAACACGAATATACTGCAGGAATAGCACCAGAATTGTCTATAACATTTAATATCGCCTCATGTTGAATCATTTCATTAATATGTACGTACGTACGTACTAACGCTAAGAAAAAAGATAACCATAATCGAACATGAAATATTATTGGCCAGAATGTAGTACGAATAACATGATTAAATACGTAAAATACTATTGGCTGGAATGTAGTACAAATGTTGTGTAACCGAAAATTTTTGGTGGTGCTCTT